AAAATATGAACTTGATAGTATGTCTAGTTACGGAGGTATTGTTAGCAGACTATTTATTTTTAGAGTTTTTTTATATTCTTTTAAATTTTTCTTACTCTTTGACGGCTTGCGATAAATTGACAGTACCATTATTATTTATAGATATGTCAAGACTTATTGTGTTTAAAATATGAACTTGATAGTATGTCTAGTTATGGAGGTATTGTTAGCAGACTATTTATTTTTAGAGTTTTTTTATATTCTTTTAAATTTTTCTTACTCTTTGACGGCTTGCGATAAATTGACAGTACCATTATTATTTATAGATATGTCAAGACTTATTGTGTTTAAAATATGAACTTGATAGTATGTCTAGTTATGGAGGTATTGTTAGCAGACTATTTATTTTTAGAGTTTTTTTATATTCTTTTAAATGTTTCTTACTCTTTGACGGCTTGCGATAAATTGACAGTACCATTATTATATATAGATATGTCAAGACTTATTGTGTTTAAAATATGAACTTGATAGTATGTCTAGTTATGGAGGTATTGTTAGCAGACTTTTTATTTTTAGAGTTTTTATATTCTTTTATTTTTTCCACTCTTTGACGGCTTGCGATGAATTGACAGTACCACTATTATATATAGATATGTCAATACTTATTCTGTTTAGAATATGAACTTGATAGTATGTCTAGTTACGGAGGTATTGTTAGCAGACTATTTATTTTTAGAGTTTTTTTATATTCTTTTAAATTTTTCTTACTCTTTGACGGCTTGCGATAAATTGACAGTACCATTATTATTTATAGATATGTCAAGACTTATTGTGTTTAAAATATGAACTTGATAGTATGTCTAGTTATGGAGGTATTGTTAGCAGACTATTTATTTTTAGAGTTTTTTTATATTCTTTTAAATTTTTCTTACTCTTTGACGGCTTGCGATAAATTGACAGTACCATTATTATTTATAGATATGTCAAGACTTATTGTGTTTAAAATATGAACTTGATAGTATGTCTAGTTATGGAGGTATTGTTAGCAGACTATTTATTTTTAGAGTTTTTTTATATTCTTTTAAATGTTTCTTACTCTTTGACGGCTTGCGATAAATTGACAGTACCATTATTATATATAGATATGTCAAGACTTATTGTGTTTAAAATATGAACTTGATAGTATGTCTAGTTATGGAGGTATTGTTAGCAGACTTTTTATTTTTAGAGTTTTTATATTCTTTTATTTTTTCCACTCTTTGACGGCTTGCGATGAATTGACAGTACCACTATTATATATAGATATGTCAATACTTATTCTGTTTAGAATATGAACTTGATAGTATGTCTAGTTATGGAGGTATTGTAGATAATTTGTTAGCAGACTATTTATTTTTAGAGTTTTTTTATATTCTTTTAAATTTTTCTTACTCTTTGACGGCTTGCGATAAATTGACAGTACTATTATTATATATAGATATGTCAAGACTTATTGTCTTTAAAATATGAACTTGATAGTATGTCTAGTTATGGAGGTATTGTAGATAATTTGTTAGCAGACTATTTATTTTTAGAGTTTTTTTTTTATGTTCTTTTGATTTTTTCTCACTCTTTGACGGCTTGCGATAAAATGACAGTACCACTATTATATATAAGTATGTCAAGACTTATTCTGTTTAAAATATGAACTTGATAGTATATCTAGTTATGGAGGTATTGTAGATAATTTGTTAGCAGACTATTTATGTTTAGAGTTTTTCTATATTCTTTTAATTTTTTCTTACTCTTTGACGGCTTGCGATAAATTGACAGTACCATTATTATATATAGATATGTCAAGACTTATTGTGTTTAAAATATGAACTTGATAGTATGTCTAGTTATGGAGGTATTGTTAGTAGACCTTTTATTTTTAGAGTTTTTTATATTCTTTTAATTGTTCCCACTCTTTGACGGCTTGCGATGAATTGACAGTACCACTATTATATATAGATATGTCAAGACTTATTCTGTTTAAAATATGAACTTGATAGTATGTCTAGTTATGGAGGTATTGTAGATAATTTGTTAGCAGACTGTTTATTTTTAGAGTTTTTTTATATTCTATTAATTTTTTCCCACCCTTTGACGGCTTGCGATAAATTGACAGTACCACCATAATATATAAGTATGTCAAGGATTATTCTGTTTAAAATATGAACTTGATAGTATGTCTAATTATGGAGCTATTGTAGATAATTTGTTAGCAGACTATTTATTTTTAGAGTTTTTTTATATTTGATTTAATTTTTTCCTACTCTGTGACGGCTTGCGATGAATTAACAGTACTACTGTTACATATGGATATGTATAGGCTTATTCTTTTCAAGGTATGAACTTGATAGTATGTCTAGTTATGGAGTTTCTGTAGATAGTTTGTTGGCAGACGTTTTATTTTCAGTTTTTTTTTTATATTCTTTTCATTTTTTCACACTTTTTGACGGCTTGCGAAACATTGACAGTAACTTGTTTTAGTGAGGCTTATAAATAGATTAAATTGTGTTAAAATATCAACTTGATAGTATGTCTTGTTTTGCACTTATTTAAGAATCTTTGTTGGTTGCGATATATCAAAATATTAAAAAGACCAATTTTTCATTTCTCTTGAATACAAATATTCTTAAATCTGATTTAATATCTATTTTATGGTTTATATTTTTTTTTAAATGTTCTTACTTCTACTTTTGGTTTAATAATTACCGCATAATTTATTTAATTAAATTTATTAACCTGGAACCGACGCCACTGTTCATTCGGGTTCCTTCGCCATTTTGGCTGCCAAGTTTGGTCTGCTAACTTCACACCAGTGATTTATCTCAAGGCTATTATCAGATAGAACTCAAGAAATCAAGTACAAAATACACAGCTTTTTGTACAGATCGAGGTCACTTTCAAATGACTCGACTTCCTATGGGTTTGAAAATAAACCCTAGTGCATTTTCTCGGGCAATGACGCTTGCAATGTCAGGACTTAACTAAGAATATTGTTTTGTTAAAGTTTTCAAAAGATTAAGGCAAGTAAATTTAAAGTTAAATCCAAATAAATGTGATTTTTAAAGAAAGAAATTCTTTATTTAGGTAACATAATCTCTGTAGATGTGTTTCACCTGATACTTCTAAAATAGAAGCTATTCAAAATTTTCCAGTTCTCAGGAAATTAAAAAATTTGTTGCTTTTGCTAATTACTATAGAAAATATGTAAACAATTTCGCAGATATTGCTGCACCACTAAGTAATCTTACAAGAAAGAAGGTTCAATTTTTGTGAAGTCCAGAGTGCCAAAAATCTTTTAAAAATTTAAAACAATTATTAACTAATTCACCAGTCCTGCAATACCCAGATTTTTATCCAGAAAATCAATTCATAGTAAGAACAGATGCCTCGAATTATGCGTTAGGAGCTGTATTGTCAAACTCCGATGATAAACCGGTTGCATTTGCAGAGAAAAATTATAGCGTAATAGAAAAACTAATGTTAGCAATATTTTTCGCAGTGAAACATTTTAGAACTTATTTGTTTGCTAGAAAATTTTTGATTTTTGATCGACCACTAGTATATTTATTTGGAATGACAAATCCAAGCAGTAGATTAATAAAATTTATATTAATTCTAGAAGAATATGATTTTATTGTATGATATATTAAAGGTACAGAAAATGTTGTAGCGGATACCCTCTCTCGTATAGATTTATCTTCAGAAGAATTGAAAAATATGAATAATGAAATATATAATACAGTTCAAGCAAAAAACTTCGAAAATGAATGCTTAGGTAGTTTCAGTAAAAACTCTGATAAAAGGATTGATCACCCTGGAGTTATAGAATTATTAAAACGTCCTAAAAATACTTTTTGTCTAAATCCAATATCTATGGCAGAATTTAAAAATATTAAAAAGAGTAATAAATGGAATTATATCATTGGGAACTTAATGTATAATATAATATATTTTAATCAGGATCCTCGATCAACATCAGACTAGGTACTATGTTGAGAGACCTGAAACATATTTATGAAAAATATGAAATTCCGGAATTAGTTATTTTAAAAAATAAGAAAAGTGCACAGTTTATTAAAAATATTTTAAAATTCTCAAATCTTATAAAGGATACCGGTATCAAATTGTCTATAATAAATGATTTAGAAAATGTCATAGATCTGGAAATGCGACAAATTATATTAAATGATTATCACAGATATTTTTGGGGAGTTTTGCGTAAAGATATCGAAACTTTTGTGAAAAAATATGACGATTGTTAACGCTATAAACATTCCATATCAAATAAAGAGCCGATGACTATCACCACTACAGCTTCCTCCGATTTTCAAAAAATTCACTTAGATTTAGTTGGTCTACTCCCACAAGATTTAAAAAACCACAAATATATTTTAACCTTACAGTGCGAATTAACAAAATTTGTGGAGGCATTTCCATTAAAACATAAAGAAGCTTACACCGTGGCTCAGGTTTTGGTAAATAACTTTATTTTAAGGTATGGTATTCCAAATGAAATTGTTTCAGATCAAGTTACAGAATTTCTGGAATGAATCTTAAAAGAAATTTTTTAGTCTTTACAAATTAAAAAGCTTAATTCAACAGCATACCATCATGAGACACTAAGTGCTCTTAAGCTGTATACTGTATACAATTTTTGTAGTTATTATAGTTCCTTGAACTTGGATATAATTAGGTTAAAGACTGTATTTGATTATTTTATATTATATTTTGTAATGTGTTGATTCGACATTTATTTCGACGACGTATTAATTGTGTAGGTTCGTTGAAATAAGTGATCGAAGAATAGAGGATTCAATAAATAACTTTCGTAGAATCTACTTGATTTTTATTGCTATTGATAATACATGGTAACGTAAGGTATCCAAAAGACTAGTACCATCACAATCTGGTCCTAATTTTCAGCCATATTTGAATTATTATTCTTATGATCATATTTACTAACGAAATGCTCAAACTATAATACTAACCTTATATTGGACGACGTTATTGAGTAGGTTAAAGTCCTCAGATTTCTGTAACTCAGTAATCACATTATTAACCGTACTATAACTATTATCTGTACTGCAAGTTAATGCAGAATTCGTGCTATTCTCTGTAGAATTTTTGAAATGTCCTGTGGGATTTAAGTAGTTTACAGTCGAGTTTGTATAGTTGGTGGTCAATATATTACTATTGTGCACAGTGTTAACACGTTTTGGAGAGTTCAGAATGTCGTTACTGCCATTGCAAACCGCCACTGGCCCATCCATGGTCTTTAGCCGCATTATTCAAAAGTTCTGAAACAAAAGAAAATTACTTTAACACAAAAATGAAGAGTAATAAGAAAATTGAAGAATTTAAAAGTTAGAACGATAATAAAAAATTTAATTTAAATGTCTACATGCTATAGTTGGAGGTAAATATATTCTTTCTTTTTCGACACAACAACAGGATTTGTATATAACCACCTGAAATGGCAACCCAGGGACGGACCTAATTAGTTGTATGTTACGTTTGTCTATTGTAAAGGGTATTTGTTAAGGTTAATAGAATTTTAAACTTAAAAAAATATGTTGCTGTTAAAAAAGTAATATTATATTAAAAAACAATCTATTACATTAACCTTTACAAATTATTTGTGGCATGTGGCCACCGCGGTTGTCCGCAAGATAGTGTATTCTTTTGGTCCAATTTTGAGTGACTTTTTCGAGCACTTCAGGTCGTATGTCGTGAATAATACAACCAATGTTGCCTTCTGAACCTTTAGTTGTTGCTGGTTTATCAACATAAACTAATAACTTGACGTAATCCACAGAAAATAATCTAGGAGCGTCACAAGACCTGGGTGGATAGTTAACAGGTTCATTTCTTAAAATTAATGTTAAGATTTATGTATTTGGCGAACCGATGATTGTTTTTCAAAGTTAATTTGAAGAATTTGGTAGCGTTTTTCAAACGTAAATCTATTCATGATGTTTTGCCAATGCATACTAAAAATAAATATTATAAACAACGCCAGACTGGCAATTCAGTCTGACAGTAATTGTTCTGTAAAGTTCTATCAAATCTAAAAAACACCGTTTATATTTTAAGACGAATGTTATACCTATTTAAATATTATCACATTATTTGCATAATTTCCTTCGATTATTTAATAAAACATTACTAAATTTAGTTTTAAAGGCAACAAAATTGATCCAAACTATTATTTAATTGAAATATTTAAATATTATATTGAATATTAATATTCAATGTATGATGTTACGAAAAATGCTTAAACAACTGTTATTTGTACTGTCTTATTATAAAATTTAAATTACTGTGAAATGTATTAGTCTGGCTTTAATTTTTAAAGTGATTGAAGCATACAAGCCTTTTCACTACGTCAAAGTTACATTCCTAGAGAAGGAAAATAGGAACAATACCATGTTCCTTTTCCTCCTTCTGCTCCTCCTCTTCCGCCTCCTCCTCCTCCTCCTCCTCCTTTGGAAACCGAGATGATCCTGCCGCGTTTCTGGAACGTCTGAACGAAATTTGTCTTTCCCAGGGGATTGACAAAACCGATTACTTTCGTGTATACCCGAACTGCTAACCGATGAACCAGCGTTATGGTTTCGTAACAATAGGGTAGTAGCCTACTTGGAAAGCCTTCAATTCTGATTTCTGTATTTTGTTTTTCTCGGAGTCCTATCAGTTGGACTTTGAAGACGAGATTAGTCTCTGACTACATCGTAGAAACGAATTAGTCACTTCCTACATTACCGAATTGCAGACCCTTGTGAGGAGACACGGGTCGTTGTCCAGTGAGCAGCAACTAGGGTGGCTTTACCGTAATTTTCTGCACGAATACAGACAGCAAATCCGAAAGACAGATTTTAAAAACTTGCCCTCCTTTTGGCAAGCCGTAAAAAAATGCGAGCTATTGCAAAAATAGCTACAAACCGTACCAAGCAACTCCGGAACCAGGCACTCTGCACCGCGTTACGATAGTTAAGAGCGAGTCGAGCCCATGGAGGCTAATCACATTGTTTCACAACGAGACGTCTTCCCGCACAGAAACGCCACCAGAGCCCCGGCAGCTTCAGCCGTTACTAGCTTCCCGAGAGATCGTCCTGCTTACTGAAGTTGACTCACGGCCACATATAAAGTTGAAAATTCTGGAGAATACCTTTTCAGCCCTAGTGGACATCTCGATCCTACCTAGGATCAGACCAGAGAACGGGAAATCCAGGTTACCAGTTGTGACCAATACCAGCCGTTCAACCAGCATAGTAACTCCAAAGACACCATCGGTTCTGAAGGACCGTATGTCGAGGTGTACTGGACCGGATTGAAATAATGTCTCCTGAACTTAGTGACAGCTGTGATAAAGGAGGAAAAATCAAACAACTGCTAACCAAAAATTTGGATCGAGCCGTAAACCCCTTGTCCGAGAGAATGTCAACCGTTAATTCAGCCAGGCGCCTGGAACGATGCGTGGACTCCGAAGCCATACAGGGGCCGACCAGTCTGTCACAACCTGTAATACGTTCAATCAAACCCGAGTCGATCAGGCAGCCTCTAACTACTCCGTTTATAGACTGCCCCCGCCCGTCCCTTGCCTTGAAAATCCATATTTTCAGACAACCGCATCCTTCCTGTTTGACCGCCCCAGAATGTCTTAGTCCGCTCCCAAAGTAAACTCTTCAGCTCGAGATGTGTGCGTCGAGGAGTCCTGCCCCGCAACTGCGAATGTCAATACCGCCCACCGTCCAGGCAACCCTCAATCTTCATGATGCCGCAGCCCTCCGTAGTCAACGTCCGGATAGCCACCGTCACAACGTACCGTCGCGGTTCAGATACCGCCATTGCGATTGGCTTTTAGTTGAAAGATGTTTTTGTCTGTAGTATAAAATATTTTCGTGTATACCGAAATTCAAACTCGGATTTGAACAGTAAATTTCTTGTATATGATCTAGGTCTATTCGGCAATATGTCGAATAGACGTTTTTTCTTTACTTGTAAAAAGTGAACTGGAGGTGGTTTCCCCCACTCCAAAATTGCGCGAACAGCGAGCTCGTCTACTGGGAAGACATTAATAGGAAGGGCGAAACAAATGTCTGCCTCTTAGCTCCCGTCTACCGTCGAGTCTCTCCAAGTTCTTGTCCTCCGACGTTTCTAGTAGAACCGCCGCTTATCGTAGTAAAAAGTAATATCAAACCCAAACAGTTTTTTTGCATTGGCAATAGTACTCCAAACCAAGCGTACCGTAGGGTACGAGGTGCAAGGGAGAGCAGTACCTCTTATTATAATTTAGTGCCTTACCCGTTAGCGGTGACCGCGTGGAGGTATTTTTAACGCCACTGAGTTTATCTTGAATACACTCTGGTATACTACAGGGTCGCCTAGCAAACTGTGTTAAGAAAATTGGTACCTGAGTTCACCACCTCAGCGCCACACAGACTAGGTACCTACTTCACAGTAAGTGAAACCAAAAGCCTGTCACACAGTATCGGCTATTGAAAACTTTTCAATACGGTTTGCTAGTGTCAAAGCGAAAACTACAAAAACTTAGCATTAGTTCGAGAAGGAAGCGAATAATATCAACGTTGCCAACGTCTTGGCCGTGTGGGGATATCTGTCATTGTGTCCCTATTAAGCTATTTCTCATACATCCATAATAGTCCCTTATTTAACATAAAAAAGTGGCATGTCGTGTTTTCTGCTTCCTATTTGTAATTAGGTACAGTAGAGGGGTGTAAACCACATGTACTATGCCCCGGTGGTCGGAGCTGTGGTTTCACGAAATAATCACGTTGAATTTTGGTTAAATATATCGATGTGGTTTTTTGACGGAAATGTAACACAATAATGACGTCATTTTCGGACCAATTTGACACATAAACACAGTAGCTGCGAACAAACTAAGGATGTTATTGCGAATAACAAGAATCTTTTAAGAACAGCTTAAAAACAGCTTAAAATTGGACTCTTTTTCCTTTTTACTTTCCTATCTGTATACAGATATAAGGAAAGTATAGGAATCATGATTTTTTTCGACCTCGAGTTTTCGACGGATTTTTACGTTTTGAGGTCCCCTGAATCCGTTTTGACTATTTTCGCGATGATGTCTGTGTGTGTGTGTGTGTGTGTGTCTGTGTGTCTGTGTGTCTGTGTGTGTGTGTGTGTGTGTGTGTGTGTGTGTGTGTGTGTCTGTATAACGCATAACTCATGAACCGATACACAGAAAAACACCAAATTTTAAACTTAAGCTTTGTTTCAGCGTCCAATGAGCTGATTAGATTTTGGGCAGAGTCGGAACATCTGGGGGGGTACTTTATAGGTGGTCATTTTTATATTTCATGGAATATATCTGTTATTTACGTTTGGAGAAGAAAATTCTTCAAATAAAAGTTACTTCTAATATAATTATCTATAATTTTTGTTCTATGCAAAATTTTCCTAAAATGGTCCGTATTCGAGAAATTTGACAAAATGTAAAAAAAATAATTTTTTATAAAAATTGTTCAAATAAAAGTTGTTTGTAATATAATTCTCTATAATTTTTATTCTATACATAATTTTTTTAAAATGGACCGTATTCGAGATATTTAAGATAATGTGTAAATTTCGAATTTTGAAGAAAACTCAAAAACGGATAAAGAAAAAAACATTAAATTTTAAACTTAAGGTTTATTTCGGCCTGACGTGAAATTATTAGATTTTAGACAAAGTCGGAACATCTGGGGGGGTACTTTATGGGAGGCCGTTTTTATATTTTATGGAATATATCTGTTATTTATGTTTGGAGAAGAAAATTGTTCAAATAAAAGTTATTTTTAATATTTTTATCTATAATTTTTGCTTTATGTCAAAATTTTCTGAAATGGTCCGTATTCGAGAAATTTGACAAAATGTGCAAAATTCTGATTTTTATGAAAATTGTTGAACTAAAAGTTGTTTGCGATATCGATTTCTATAATTTTTGTTTATACATGATTTTTCTAAAATGGACCGTAATGGAAAAGTGCTAAATTTAAATTTTTCTGTATTTTCGTTTTCAATGAATATCTATAAAAAAATGTTTCGAGGTAGATGTATGTGTAAAATGTATATATTTAGTTTATCCTCTAAACATTTATAGAGATGCTGCAATAGGTTGTACAAAATAACCGGAAAATGCCTATAATAACTAGATAGGAAAGTCATGTGTTGGACACATCAGATTTTTTATATTGCAACGGTGCCTGTAGATAGCCTAATTTTGCTTTAATTATTAACATACACATTATTATAAACATAAATT